TTTTTTATGTATGAAGGTGTTTCCCTATGATTGTAGGTACATATAAGTTACTTAACAAGTAACAGGTGAGGGCTGAGAGTATCCCTGCCTTAAAAGGCAATCTTTGAAGATAAATTTGAAATAACTTCTAGGCAACTATTGTAACTAATTAGGCACCAGTTTGAACTTCCTTGGGTTCAGTGGGTAATTGTGGGTTCTGGAAAATTCTTGAATATAAGCAACTGTTATTAGAGGCAGGTCATCATAGTTACATAAAAAGAAATGCAGTTAAGGACTCATTGCCATCTCTGGAAAGAGGGCAGCAAAGGGAGGCCTGGCTATGGAGGGGAGCCACCTTCCCTTTTTTTTCCAGCAGTAGAGCTGTGTGAAGACTGTCTTAGTTGTCCATACCCACATTAGGCAGCTAAGACAGCAGAGTCACTGTCCCTAGAGAGACCGGAATGTGTTTAATTCAAATCACCAAACAGGAAAACTCGTTTTCCTTCCCTTTCTTTTTCCCAACCCCCAAGCAAGTCTGTAGTCAAAAGCTTAAACTTTAGGGTGTTTGGATAGTTTTGAAAATTTCTACTTTTTTCCCCCTGCTTTGCATTCATCTGATAACATCTACATATTTTTTCCCAGATCTGCTTAACCACTTTTGCTTCTCATCTCAATTTTCTGTGTAATTAATCACTGCCTTAAATTTTTATTCCTTAGAAATAGGACTTTATTCTAAAGTTTTATCTCCATATACCACTGTTAATATATGCATCTTCTTTGTAGATACCTTAGCTTAAGAACTAAAATAGCATCTTTGATTCTTTATTGGAATTTTCTAGATTTTCATTAAGATTGGATACAATAATTTTTTTAGAAGTTCTTAATAATTGATTATAAGTTTTCTAAAAATCCGAGAGGACTGATGCCTAGTACAGTTCACAATTTGTTAAACCTGTTTATGAAAGCATTCTTAAATTTTAAAAAGATTTTGTTATGAAAAAACACGTGGAAGAATATGTTAGATGTATGTGTATTGTAAGAATGATTATAAAGTGAATACCCCATAATTACCACCCAGATCAAAAAATGGAATATGGCTAACACACCAGCAAGACACATGGACTGGAGTTGCTGTTGGCTGAGTAGTCACATCTCTAATATTACTAGTTTTAGTATTATCAAACTTTTCCAGAGGGGTTGCATTCTTACAACTTTTAATGAATATATCTTCCCTAATTTATTTTATCTCTGATTTCTAACATTAATTCAAACAATTTAAGAAAAAAAACAAAATGCATTTTTTTTATCCCCCCAACCCCATAGTAAATTTTATCCATATTGGTGCAAAGTGGGAATTAGATAATTCAAACTGTAGTAAAAATAAGTCAAGTTAGAAAATAGAATATCTCATTGGGGACAAGAGAGGCAGAGGACACAGCACCAGGGGCCTTTTGTATAAAAGATGTTCAATTAAGATTTGTTGGTTGATAAATCCAGGAGTGTCTGTAATACCTGTAGGACTTTCTTTTTTCATCAGTGTACCATTCTGTCCCTAAGTTGTACTTTCCCAAATTCTAGGACTCCTGATTTGCCATTAGAATTTTATAGTATGGAAATTAGAGTGGGGGAGCCTCTTATAAGTTTAATTACTGGCTTCTAGGTCCCTATCAGGTTATTAATTAAATCAGTCACATGTATTGTTTGGTTTAAGATTGTAATCTCCTAAAAGCAGGAATGAATTTTTCAGTGACATAGGAATGTTCTAAAAATAAGCCATAATTACCAGAAGCAGGTTTGGGCCAGAATACAGAGGTCAGAATTGCTTATGCCCAATGAAATGCTCCAGTATCACTCATGGGCCTGTGTTGAAGAATATTTACTTTCAATTTCTTATTGAAAGATTTTATGTGAATAGTTGCTTTTTAAAAAATATATCTGGTTTTTAAAAATTGAGGTGAAATATACATTAACTTTACCCTTTTTAAGTGTACAATTTAGTGGCATTAAAGTACATTCGTATTGTTTTGCAGCCATCTGCCTCCAGAATGCTTTTCATCTTGCACATCTGAAACCTATTAAACACTAACTCTCCATCATCCCCTCCTGGCACCTACTCTTCTATTTACTGTCTCTGAGTTTGGCTACTTGAGGTGTCTATCTCATATAAGTGAAATCATACAGTTTTTGTTGTTTTGTGCCTGGCTTATTTCACTTAGTATAATGTCTTCCTGGCTCATCCATATTGTAGCATGTAACAGAATTTCATTACTTTTTAAGGCTGAAAAATATTCCATTGTATATGTCTACCACATTTTCTTTATCCATTCATCCATTAGTGGACATTTGGGTTGTTTCCACCTTTTAGCTATTGTGAATCATGCTGCGATGAATGTTGGTGTACAAATATCTCTTCAAGTTTCTGCTTTCAATTGGATAGTTGCTTTTTAATCTTTTTATACCAAAGCCCCTTACTAGTGTTGATTTTTTTTTTTCCTTTTTGTCTTTTTTCGTGACTGGCAACAGATCGCAACCCTCAGTGTTGCGCCCGTACCGGACCGGGACTGGCAATGGGACCGGCAACGGGACCGGCAACGGGATCGCAACCCTCGGTGCTGCGCCCGCACCTCGCTCAGCCAGCGAGCCGCCGGTCTGTATGTGGGATCCAAACCCTCAGCGGGAGCGCTACCGCGCTCCCAAGCAGCACACTGTAGGAGTGCACCACCGGGCCAGCCCACTAGTGTTGATTTGACAATATTCTTACCATACCTCAGAAACTACTTAATCAGTTACCCTCCACATTTTTTTTTTATCTTCATGAGAAAATAAGGCGGAAAGAAGGGGAGGGAAGTGTCCAACATCAATCATTTCTATTAATGGTAGCACTAAAATTGCACCAATCTTTTAGTAATTAGGATGCTAATCACTGTGCTTTTTCATTGTTAGATTTTTGTGTTCATTATCCATTTGAGTCATAATAAAATAATGTCATTTTTTTTTAAAAACTAAAAATTTGCTAAGAAGAGTATATTTTACTTTTTGGTAATTATTTCTAATGTCTGGCTTACCAGAAGATGGCTAAATTCTCATATTTGCTTCTTCATATAATCTCTGTCACTATGTTGTTTTTGTTGATGTATATGAAGAAAATTCAACCTCACACAGGTATATAATTGGAAAAGGAAAAATATCATGGATATTTTTCTTCGATACTACACCAAAACTCAACAAGAGGTAGTTCCTTAAAGGTTAGTCGCAGTATAGAATTTGAAATATGTCAGTGAATTTTTTATACTTGGTTAATCTATTTGTCTTTCTTGTACCTCGGATGGATTTTTTTACTCAAGTACAATTTGTATCATCATCACTGGTTATTTGGAAAATATTGGCTCACCAAGTATGCCAGTCTTCCAAATACTGACACACATTGAGATATGAAACACAAAATTAAAGAATTCACATTTATTAATATCATCCCTAATTGCACGGAGAGTGTCTTTTAAGTTTTGGGGAGCTATCAAGCTCGTAGTGACAGATGGTGGTTTTCCCAAAATTCTAATTTTAGCTTGATAGCTCAGCTTTTATCATTGGCAACAAATAGTGTCAGTTGTTTTCCTTAAAATACAGGCTCACTTTGTTCATGTTCAAGAAAATGTCTGCCAAATACCAAACCAGAATAACTATAATTTGTCATTCATTCTTTGCAGTAAACATGGTATTCCATGAAAAAAGCAAGTAGTTCAGTTTGCAACTTAAACCGTAGTACAAGTGCTTTTTCTTGGGATTACCATGGTACTTCAGTAGTCAGCAGGGGTGCTTTATGTGTACTTACTATTTTGGAACACAGAATATTAAAAAGCCATGTATGCAAGGGTCAATATTTAATAAAATTATTGATTTTCCCTGCTGCATCAAGAACATTCTTAAGTGAAGTTGGCTTTTTTTTTTTTTTTAAATTCATGACTACTGATACAGTTGGTAACTACCTTGATTTGTGTTAAAGAGCTGGCAGTTTGACCCACTGTTGGTTTTGCAACATTGATATAAATGTCAACACAGGAAAGAAGGCAAATAATGTCTTAGTATTATTATGAAAGTCGTTTTCATAATAGAGTCTTGCTGGGACTTGATCCCATAGGCCAGTGGTTTTCAAAGTGTGATCCCCATACCACCAGCACTAGCATCTCTTGGGAACTAGTTAGAAATGCCTCCCCTTCAGTGTCCAGGTACTCTGGGTTGGGTCTGGCCTCTGTTTCATCTAGCCCTCCAAGGGACTGAGAGAATCACTGCTGAATTTCAGTGGCCTTTTCAGAAAGGCCACTCTTGAGTGCCCTCTGAAGGTGGGGTGGGATGGGGAAGTTAGGGACAGAGTCTTCCTGCATTTGTAGAGGATGTGATGGGGTTTGGACTTCAGGCAGCAGGAAGGAAGATAGGATGGATTTACTAGCAATAGATTTCTCTCGGACTTGATTGCCAGTAGACACCTTAAAAGCTGAGAAAACAGCTGTGTGACCTGCCAGCTGTCAGAAAGAGGGGTTTTAAAGGCCCTTGCTGCTTTATGTCTTCAGAGAATATCTTTTACTGATAGTCAAAAAAATCAATTCCAATAACTTACTAGAGCCTCTTCAGTGTCCTTTTTGAAGACACCTGCTTAAACAATGATCTTGGCCTCTGGAGGGGTAAAGTCACACATTCGGGGCCCAGAGTTTTAGAAAAGATAGCAAGGTGCAGAAGAGTGGAGGTAATGATTTCATTCAGATATACCCAGCCACTAACAAATTTAGTACAGTGGAACACAGCAGTCAAGTCCTTTGTATTGTATGTTGTCTCAGAGTTGGTGAGGTGTATCCTTTTACTCCTTGAATTCTACCAATTGATATAATCAGTAGCTCCATTTGATAGATGTGAGTGTAAAGATGGGTCTCCACTCTCAATTCCAGCAATTACTTTATTAGAACCTTTATTTTTCAGTATTTTAAAGTTCTTTTATTTATATCCTTTTTCTTTTACAGATTTGTAAGACTCCAGGGCCTTCAAGCTGTGATTAATCTGATGGTTCCTGAAATGACTGGGAAACAGATACTTCGCATGCCAGTTGAAGAGTGTGTGTCCATGTATATTTAAAACATTCTTTCTATACATACACATTTACATGAGAAGACAGGCTCATTCTTGTGCATACTTGAGAGTTTTACAACTGATGAAAATTAATTTCAGCATCATATGGAGCAACTTGACACCACGGGGTTCAGAAGCCTGGGGAGAAAAATCCATCACTAATGGCCAGTTTTCTATACGGTCTTCACGGGTAAAGAAAGTTTGCAAAAAGAAGAAAAAAAATTTGCACAGGTTAAGCCTCAAAAATACCTCTGCAGTTGAAAGAAGGAACTAAGTGAGAAGGTGACTGAAGGAAAAGTGTGATTTCAAACACTGCAGGTGGGATCACCCAGTGCTTTTTGCACTTTATTTTTCAATGGGTTTGGTGATTTGAACAGACTTTGAAGTTTGGGACTGAGAAGTAACTTACTGTGGTTATGGCTAGAGGAAAGCAAGTTCAGGTATGATGAGACAAGTTTAAAAACTGAACTGATTAGTTTGCCTTTTTTAGTTAACTATATTTGAGAAATTTTAATTTATTATTTTCCTTTTCCTTTCCTGCATCTATAGGATAATATCCTAAATAGCAATTAAAATCGATAATTAGAAAATAAATATCAAGGAAAATCCAAGCAAAGCTTCCTTTTCCTTGGACTAAAGGTGTGGTGTTTGGAAACGGTCTTTGGATGTGAACAGGAAAGCACCCATCAGCAAAACATTATAACTCTCCAGGGAAACAGTTTGGGGAGAATCTGACTCTGGCCTGTGTTTTTGTGTTCCCTGTTGAGTCCTAGAAGACTTGCATATGAGAGGAAGATTACTTGATGGACTTAATCCTGAGATTAGTTTTTTTCAGCATGATGGAAAAGTATGTGATCTTTAGGAACAGAAAAGGGGAGAAGTAACTAGGGGAGTGAGAAAAGTCAGGCAGAAGAAACAGAATCCTGCAGTGTGGCTCGTTTTTGTCAACAAGAGGATTTAGAATTCACCCAGGGCAAATACTTGGACCACGTTAAGAACTGTAGAACATTCTGCCTTTGCCCAGTGAAAGGGCTTTCTTTCCAGCCTCTATGGCACTGAGGGGTAACCTGTCCAGTGGAGGAGTAGTCCAATGGAGCCTCATGCTCCCTGGGGACACAGGGCCAAGCTTTGAGGTGGGAAATTTCTGGTTCTGAACAACAGGAAAAGAGTCCTTTTCTCTTCCTAAAATTTGGACTGCTGTCTGCACAAACTTTGATCTGTTTTGCACAGTTTGTGTGCCTTTTTTTCCCTTTATGCAATCTTTTTCAGCTTTAGCAGCAGAAATTTGTCTATTCCAGAAAACATGCCAGAGGGTGGCTTCAGAAGGAAGATGATCCTGTGTGTTCTGTCTCTGCATCCAAACTTTTGAAGAGAAAATTCCAGCTAGAGAGATTCTTAAAGCCTTAAGTTACTTGAAATCTATGTATTTGCAACCCTTTGTCTCTGGAAATCATATTACACAAAACTGGAATCTCAGGCTGAAAGAGAATAAACAAGTAAAAAGAAGAAAACTCTTGTTTCTTGATCACCACTTGTTAACGATGCTCTTTCTCCAAAGGATCAGCACGTTCTTCCTCTAAGGACTTGAAAATAAAAATGGACCCCATGTTTTTTTAAGCATTACCTTTTCTTAGCAGATTGCCATCATCTTTTATAGAGAATTTTTTTCACTATGCATTTGGTGGATCTTTATAAAATACTGACTTAATTAGATCCAGGTCAGTCTTAATTAAAGGGGGAAAAAAGTAACCCAAGACAACCACAAAAATAAATAAACCAACGAATGAAATTGGTTTAAAATTTGCAACATTAAGTATTACTTTTTAAGCAAAACAGTTCACTGAAAAAAAGTATGTATGCAGCGGTAGAACATGGGCCTGTGCTTTGCAGTGACTCCAACATCCTCTGCTTGTCCTGGAAGGGGCGTGTCCCCAAGAGTGAGAAGGAGAAGCCTGTGTGCAGGAGGCGCTACTACGAGGAAGGCTGGCTGGCCACGGGCAATGGCCGCGGTGTGGTTGGGGTAACCTTCACTTCCAGCCACTGCCGCAGGGACAGAAGTACTCCTCAGAGGATAAACTTCAACCTGCGGGGCCACAATAGTGAGGTGAGCTGTGGCTTTGTTTCGGTTTTTGTTCTGGTCACTTCCAATGATCTTTCTGAGCCTTCCCATGGACTTGAATCTTTTTTTGCTTCCATATCTTAGACCCGCAGCTAAATGAGACTTTGCATGCAGTGAGTTCTGTCTTCTGTACTCCAGCAGCTAAGGGGGCGGGCCATGGTTCACAGTGGCCTATCCCTCCCCGAGTGGATCAGTTGTTCTCAGCGCCCCCACTCTCCTCTCTTTACATGAGATTCTCTGCTGCCTCTGAAGGGACCCAGGCAGTGGAAGGATGCCCAGTGGCAGGGAGGTCGGGGTGCTTTCTGACCAGGCTGGGGGATTGGGTTAGATGCTCCTAACCAGTCTCTCATGCTCCAAGTCTCCATGGCAAAGAGTTACCCCCAGTGTAAGACCAACACTGTGAAAATGAAAATGGTACCACCTTTATTTTGCACAGTTAATATTTGCATTTCTCTGGCGATGGTCTAACACCTGGCTTGTATGTCTTGTACTTGGAGGTGAAAGAAGCCATTAATAGGACAAGAACCATAGTTTTTCACATTTGTAGGGTATATTATATTGAGGTTACTATGCTGTCTATTTGTACGTATAAATTTCTCTGGGCTTCTAAAATGTAAACAGTGGTATTGTCTATGAAATTCATTCAACCAACATTTATTGAGCAATGCTTAAGTGTTAGGCACTGTGTTTAAAAGAAGAGCAGTTGATAATTTCTTGCAAAGATGTACTGGTTAGCACCTTGACAGTATTCATGTTTCATTGTTCTTTAGCTTATTTGGGTGTTTTCTTGTGAGGAATCCATGACTATTGTGGATATATCCACATAGACACACATGTGTGCTTATACACACACACACACACACACACACACACACACACGTATAATTTTGAGGTGGATACTCTCTTAGAAGGTGTATTTTTCTATTGGTGTGTAACAAATTACCACAAAATTGATGGTTTAAAACAACACCATTTCTGGTCTCACAGTCCTGTAGATCTGGTCCTGGCATGGTGTAGCTGGGCCTCTGATCCACGGTCTTATGGGCTGGGAAACATGGGGCCAGCTGGTACTGTGAGTTCTTCTGAGGCCCAGGGCCCTCTTCGAAGCTCATTCAGGTTGTGGCAGAAATCAGTTCCTTGTAGTTGTAGGACTGAGGCCCTTGGGCCCTAGAGGCCACTCACAGTCCCTGATGTGTGCCCCTCTCCACAACGTGCAGTTGGCTTCTTCCAGGCCAGCAGGAGAGCATCTACTATAGCTTCTGACTTTTCATCTCTAAAAAGGGCTCCCCTGAGTAGGCCATGACCACCTCCACTCCAGGGGAGGGAATTATACAGGGTGTACACACCAGGGAGTGTGATTTTAGAATTCCACCTACCACAAAAGAGGGGATTATAATTCACAGACAGCAGTCTATTTCACTATTGAAACTATTTTGTGTGTATATTAGTCTGTTTCTGTTGCTTATAACAAAATACCTGGAACTTGGCAATTTATAAGAAAACAAAATTTATTGCTTACAGTTTTGGAGGTTGGGAAGTCCAAAGTCCAGGGAATACATCTGGTAAGAGTCTTCCTTAGAAGTAATGCAGGAGTCTCACATGGCAGAACGGTGGGAGCAGAAAGAAAAAGACTTTCACGTGCTCTCCTTTTAAAGCCCTCAGAACCACGTCTATGATTACCATTATTAATCCATTCATTATGGTATGGTCCAACAATCTAATCACCTCTTCAAGGCCCCACCTTTCAATTACCATAATAGGATTTCCCACCCTCAACAGTTACAATGGGGATTAAGCTTCAGTGACTTAAGACCTGGAGGACACAATTCAACCCATATCACTGTGATTTTTCCACTTTGCATTTTTACTTTTAGTTAATTTCTGTTCTTCATATTAGGATATGTCCCATTTATTGAGTACCTTCCAGCTAGAGGGACCAACTGTCCTGGTTTCCCAGGACGTGCGACTGTCATTGCTAACACCAGGACAGTCCCAGGAAAACTGGTTGGTCATCCTACTGTGCAGTGCCCAACTTGGTACCAGGCCCCTTCCAATCTAATTACCTCATGTGGCTCACAGTGGACTTGTGAGTAGATGTCATTATTTCCATTTTATAGGTGAGAAAACTCAGGCTTGTATCTGTTAAACAACTTGCCTAAATTCATGCAGTTCGTATGGAAGAGAGCTGGAACTTGAATCAAGGTTTCTATCATTCTCCTTCAGCTTATCTTTATTTTCTTAAAACTTGGGTTAAATGCGTGTCCACAATCCCTTATCCTCAATTATAAAATCTAAGGGCTCTGAAAATGGAAAGTTTTTGTATAACTAATGTAATGGCAAGACCTGAACTGACGTGAAGCCGTTTATTATCATCTCATCACTTCAGCTGCAGAAGTATTTACATTTTATCATCGGAGCTGACCAGACCTGCTGGGGTTGTTAGATAACTGATGGTATCTGCCTTTTATTACTTTTCTAAAATTTAAGAAGTTCTGAGGTTCCAAAACTTATCTGTTTGCAAAGATTTGGGATCACGGATTGTGAACCTTCATTTAAGGGAATCATGAAAAGAAACTTTGGGTTTTATCTTTTTTTCATTTCCCAGAAAAATGACATTTAATTCACCTCCATCCATTGCTTAGTTACCTTATCCTCACTCCCCTGCTACCACAATGAGCAAAAAAAAGCCCTTGTCCCCACCTGACATGTCTTGCAAGAACTCTATTGAAGGAACTGTTGGCAAGATTTTGATTACCTATTTCTGGCTATAGAATATAACCAAATTGCAGATGCCAAATCCAGTAATCTACTGATTTAACAACTGAATTAAAAAGGAAAGAAAGCTGAATGAAGATTGTTTCACCCACAGTTAGTTAGTATGTAAGATCTGTTTTGTAGTATGTAGTATTTAATAAATGTTACTAACATTTTGAATTTATAGTTATACTCAGATAAATCAAATCTGAAATTAAATCCTTTTATAAATATTTGTATCTGGCCTTCTAGACTAGTTGGTCATTCTTACGTTGTGTATTTTGTTAGAAATTTGCAATAAAATAAACATCAGCTATATTCTCGAGTGAAAACATACAGGAAGAGAATTCTTAACCTTTAGTAAATAGCTTAAAATTTGGTAAATACGCTGATGGTTCTAGTCAGATTGTCAAAATATGCCCCCATGAAAGCACCTACCATAAAACAAAGCAAAAAAGATCCACTAGCACAAAAAAACAGGTGATTGACCATACCAGCTTTTCCCAAATCAACTTTACTTGGCATTCATGACCAGAAAAAAAAAATTCTTTTGCTGATATCTCTCCTGAAGCCTGTGGTAGCAGTGTGTACAGAAGAGGAATAGATGTGTATTTACCTGCTGAAGCCAAGGGGAGATGTTCATGACTGGTTGAGAAGTGATGCTTTCTTAGAATTATTTGTCCTGTTACTGTGAAACAGTACAAAGATCCGCTCCTTCAGTAAAGATGAGTTTTTCTTTTAAAAGAGTCTCCAGTATGGGCATGTATGTCATGCAAAATTATTATGTTCCAGAATGAAGAATATTTCAGAAAATACTTGGTAATATTTTTCTTCTAGAAAACAATCATTTTTGCTTTTATTATTATTATTATTATTATTATTATTATTATTTTTCCTTTTTGTCTTTTTTACTGACCGGTAACGGGATCGCAACCCTCAGTGTTGCGCCCGCACCGCGCTCAACCAGTGAGCGGGAACCAGTCTCCACATGGGATCCGAACCCTCGGCGGGAGCGCCGCCATGCTCCCAGGCGGCGCACTCTCCAGTGCGCCACCGGGCCGGTCCATGCTTTTATTATTTTTAATTGGCACATAATTGTACATATTTATGGGGTGCACCGTATGATATTTCAATATGTTTATGCAATACTTAATGATCAAATCAGTGTAATTAGCATATCCATCACCTCAAACATTTATCTTTTTTGTGTGTGCTGGGAACATCAGAATCCTTTTTTCTTGCTATTAAAAAGTATGTAATAAATTGTTAATTATAGTCACCCTATAGTACTATAGAATACTAGAACTTATTCCTCCTATCTAGCTGTATGAGGGTACTTCAAATAGTTTGTGAAAAAATAGAACTAGAGGCTTCCAGTCAAGATGGTGGAATAGACGGTCCCCAGTGTCATTCTCTCCCTGAAATCAACCAATTTACAACTGTAAAAAAGCAACAACAGCCAAGCTGGGGCCGCTAGAGCTCAGGGGAAGAGGAGAAAAGATCTACGGAGTGCATGAAGGTGGGAGGATGCACGATGAGAGAAAGAGAAAACCTCTCTGACTATTTGAGCCCTGGCCTTGTGCAGGCTGGAGCTGCTGAGCGCACAGAGCAGGAGCTGGCCAAAGCTGCAGCTGTGACCTTTGGATGAAGTTGCTTGGAGGTGGCAGGGGAGAAGAGGACCTTGGTGGCCCCGAGGCCAGCAAGACCACTAATAGGGTTCCTGTGGACCCATATAGGAGTGAGAAGCCACAGACAAGTGAAAAAAGGAGCCACTCAGAGGCCAGTGAGTCATTGCAAGGGACTGGTGCACGGCCCATCCCATGGGAAGTGTTTGCAGCATGGGTGGTTGGGGAGACGGGCCCACTGGGGCACAGCAAGAACAGCTGATCTGCCCCCCAATCAGAGAAGGACCACTCAAAGGAGACTGGTCAGGAATATAGAATTGCATGGGGTGCAGTTTGATGAAAAGACTCGGGCCCAGATCAGAGTTTCTGCACAACCCAGGTGCACCAGGTCTCTGGAGAGCCAGAAGTACCTATAAAGTCAATCATTATAACCTGAGCTGCACAAAAAGCTTTCCCTAAGGAAGCAGCAGCAAAGCAGCAATTTAGCTCAACCACAGAGCTCAAGTACTAGTCCCCACAGGAAATTCCCCCAGTTTAGAAGTAAACAAAGGACAACAAATTAGTTCTAGCACAGAGTTTAAATGGTGGGAACAGCAAATAATCCAA